CAAGTGCTTTACACACTAAGGGCACAGTCGTATGTCTCAAGTGCTTTGAGTATAATTTTCTCCTAATAAGCCAAATAACAGAAACAAGATTTTCACCTACACTGAGAATATAATAAAGAGGGATAATTAAAAAAAAAAGAATATAGTTTCTGCCGAGCCTCTGCCCTAACTCTGGTGAGCCCGTGGCTGGTGAAGGAACTCAGAGACCTAATTCCCTATAGATCAACACTCATTCTATTGTAAGCCCCGTCCATTAAGCACTACCTAGTGTGAATCCTACAGTCAACCTGCCCCTCTGCTTTCTTCTTATAACTCAACACCACATGGTTAAGCTCCACACTGAAACAGTAAATCAGTAACACAAACCTGGTGCAAAAAACAATCACAGTCCGAGGATATATTTGAAAACATCACGATTTATAAAATTTTAACGTAATATGTCTACATTTTTAAGAGTGTGGTGGACATTATAGGAACACCTATTAGTCTGAGACACTGTAAATATATGTCAGGAACATTGCTGAACAATTAACAAGGAAAACAAAGAATAAAGTACATTTTAGGAATAAAAAGGGAACACTCAATATATACTGTCTATGATTATAGCACCAAAGAGGTCTGGGTAGATAATCTTGAGGAAGTATCAAATATGGATTTACATGTTTGGCTCCATGTTCTATAGCATTTTACATGGATGTCTGCTGATACTTTTTCTCCAAATTTTTAGATATTTATTAGTGTTTTAAAAATATGCTTGTTCTTTTAAAATATTTTTATATTTATTTGGGGGTGGAAGATTTATCTGGGGGTAGAAGAAGTTAAGTGCCTTAGCGCATGTGTAGAAATCAAAGGCCCACTTGTGGGGTTAGTTTTCTCCTATCCTGTAGGCTCCAGATACTGAACTCAGGTCAGGTTTGGTAGCAAGTGCCTTAACTGAGGCATGCTGTTAACCCCAGTGTTTGTTTGAAAATGCTCTGCATCTGTCATTAACGAGAAAATGTTAGACTAAATGAAAAATTGTAATTTAAAAAATACTAATTATAGAGAAAGAAGCTGGTAGGGCACACTCATGATTTTGAGGGGGAGGGGAGACTTCATTTGTAACTGTTTAGCCAAGTGAGTGGGAACAAGCTTTTGTCTTCTTACACACACACACACACACACACACACACACACACACATAGTCATTCAAATGGCAAATAACTTTACCAAATACCTGGGGTGCCTCGAGGATTAGAGATGAGTGGATCTCGTGAACTGTTTCTGGAGGCTCACTGTTGTCTCCATTGTTGTTTGAATGTAAACTAAAATGTTCTTCCTTCTCATCTTCCTGAAAATAAAAGCCACTTTTATGATCAAAAAACTCCTTAAAACTCCAGTTTGAGGTAAGTTCAGCTTCAACTTTTCTCTAGACAGTTCTCATCCACTGCAATAACTGAACAAAGGCTATGCAAATGTTATCAACAAAGCAAATGTTTACCCACAATGAAAAGAAAATGCACTGTAGGCCACAGCTCATCAATTTGAAGTATACTTTAAAGAAAAGCCACTCATCAGGAAAAGGCCTTGCAGGTGCAGCTACACTTCCCCGCACCCTGCATAGGCTTAGGTACATGAACACACTCGCGTGCTCATCATCAACAAGAAGTGAATGCCTTACTGATGAGCAATGGGTTCAATTAGTGCCAGTCACTCACTCAATGGTAAAACGTCCAGAATCTGACTTCAGAGCCCTGGTCCTCAGTTACCACTCCATGTAATCTTCCTTCTACAGATCAGCAATGTGGGAAGTGAGGTGGAAAGGCCTCGGGTACACAGCCTTGAGACCACGGAGTAAGCCGCAGCTCTATAGCCAAGGGCTCCAGGGCCTGTGTGCTCTGCCTAGTGCTAAAGACACAGATCGTTTTTAAAAGCCAGTTTATTAGCTTTATTGTATCCAGTATGTTTGAGGTAAGTTTGCAGAAGGTGAGTTGCTATCATGGATAAGGTGATGATTTCTCATTGTAGTTCTTTAAGTACAGTTATTATATGGCTTAATACTACAGAGGTAATTGTACTGTACACATGCACAGTCTCTCTGCCCCCTCCCGACTTTGGCCCTTCTAACTTACATTCTTCCTGCCTCCACCAGGAATCACAGGCATAGAACACCTGTTTATTCAGAGCACTCTACCATCCCCATCACCTGTCCCTTAACCTCGGCCTCCCATTCCCAGCTACCCTGGGAGCCTCACACTCTAAGGAAAAATGTGAGCTAAGTTCCAACTCACGATGAAGTTAAATCCCTCCCAGGGCTGTGCTCTAAGGTCTCAGCTTCTGTAGCACTCCCTCCGCTGCAAGCAGCACAGGATGCAGACTCTGTCCGTAATACCTCCCATGTTCTCACACTGCCTCAGTCTTCTTAAAGCTGCTTAAAGGGAAGGCCTGTGTTGTCTCTCTCCTATAGGACACACATGCCTAAGGATTTTTCCCATATAGCCATAATTGAGTAAGTAACTGTCAGAGAAAATACAGACGAAATACTTGCTACAACCTAAAAAAGGGGAAACGTATAAAAATATTAACATTCTCCCTTCTTAATTTATGCAAAAACCACACTGTGTACTTCAGTTTACCATCTGTTGCCTATGGCAGCACATCTCATATATGAAAAAGTCAAGATCCTGGTTAGCCATGTACTAGACTTAATTTTACTGATTAAAGTAATTGATAGGTGTTACAGTCAGGCATTTTAATGAGTATAGAAGAATAAAAAAATGTAATGCTGGTAGGGCAGGTGATTAGCATAGGCAAGCATGTGAGAGACTTAAAACATAGTGACGTACAAGCCCTAGAATCAATCTCAAGCAAAAAAATGTAAGGGGAAGTACAAAGGCACACTGCAGTTTCCTAATTCAAAAACATTTTGTGCAATACACTGCTCATTATCCATATATGTGGTGCGTGTGTGTGTGTGTGTGTGTGTGTGTGTGTGTAAACCTACCAAGCTAGTGAGGTACCTGAGCTGCTATCATGCAACATGCTAATATATTTACACACTAAGAGAATTTTAGAGGCAAGAAAAGACTTTAATTCTTTAGTCTTGCTCATTCCATTATGAAATTTTATAAAAGATTCATAAAATAAAACTGGTCGACTTTATCAAATCACCAATACAATATTTATGAAATGCGAAGTGCTGCATCAGAGCAATATGGGCGACCACTGAGGAGAGAGGCTTAGGAAGAATTAGCAACCTCCAAGGATGGGAGTCTCGATCTTCAGGTCAACCTTCACCCACTGGATTCTTTGTAGCTTACACACCTTTGAAGTCTGAAACTCACCGAGTTATTCAGGGCAAAGTTAGAAATAGGCTTTCTGAAACTCAGTCTTACAACCTTACTGTTCAGATACATGCAGGCAAACTAAACAGGACATTGTAATAAAGTGAGCTTAGTGTGCTGTGCCTAAGAAAGGGTGTAAGGCTTGAAACTGTCCAGCCAAGCTCACACTTGGACCCCACTCCTTCTAATGATGTTTGGGAAAGTTACTCAACTCCCTCTGTCTCCTTTGGCTCATTCATAATGAGTGACAAGAGGACGACTGACACTGCTCTGAAGAGAACGCTAATTAATACCTGTGAGAGGCCTAAAATACAGTGATGTACAGTAAACACTCATTTAAAACTAAATGAAAATAATCAAGTCATTGTTTTATACCGAGAACCTCAACAATACAATTTTAAGGAGCCCACAGTCAAGAACAGTAACATGAAATTATATATCATATGGTAAGATGACCTCAAAACAATTTGACCACAGAAAGGTTGTCAGCACTAGGAGTCAACAGACAGGCTGATCACAGATGATGACAGGAAAGTATGAAAATCTCATTTCCATATGAACAAAAACATAAATTCCAGGTCATTATACCTTCTTAACATTAGCATGGAACAGTGGTTCTCAACCTATGGGTTGTGACCCCTTTAGGGTGGACAAACCTTTTACAGGAGCTACATACCACATAATCTTGCATATTAGACATTTATATCATGATTCACAATAGAAGCAAATTAGTTATGTAGGAGCAAAAAACAATAACTTTATGGTTGGGGTCACCAAAACATGAGGACGGTAACAAAGGGTAGCAAGATTAAGAAGGTTGAGAACCACTGTTCTAAAATTAAAATCCAAAATTATTTCAATTTACCTTGATTAGAACTTAGGATTCTATTTAGAAACTGGAAGGTAAGGGGGTAGTGATAAAGCGGCAGGGACAAGGCTGACGTCACTTGTGTGCCACATCAGGCGGCATGGCCCCTATTCCTGAAACTTGCTCTGACATTATAAGTCAGAGACATCAGAAACCTGCTTACTGCTCTTTCAGAGCAGCAGTTTGGTGCGAGGGACTCGGTTTGGGTGTGGGTCCCCAGTACAGCTCAGGGCATCCGATGCACTCTTCTGGCCTCTGTGGGCACTGCGCACATAGGCAAAAACCTCACACACCTGTGTACTAACATAAAATAAACCTGAGTTTAAAAAAATAAAAGAACACAAACTTGCACAGGGTCAAACACATAGTAAGCCAAATGGGACGGATTTCAAGGCCAGGAGTGTCTGCTTCCCCTGGTCCATGTTCTTTATCGTACTAGTTTTATTTCCTTTATTAACACACTTCAAGCCTTACAGGTGAGTCAAATTTGTCTCCCAAGTTCATGTTGTTAACTACCACTTCTATATTAACTGAGTTCCAAACTTACCACCAAAGGCTTACAGATGCCAAGGTGCACCGCACCTGGGGGTACAGCCTTCAACACTTCCACAGCCTCGGCAAGAGTGGCGTTGTCCAAAGAGAACTCATTGACGGAGACTAGGCGATCTCCAGGTAAAAGTTCTCCACTTCTTTCTGCTACGCCGTCTGCCACCAAGGAGCGAATCACAATCACGGACCTTGTGGGATCCAGGGGATCCTACAAGTCAAATGGAAGAAAGTCAGCCCCTGAAAATAAATACGCAGGCTGAAGAAAGCTCATCTTTAACAAGTCTCATTGGTTTATCTCACATGGCCAATACTCTGTTGCCATTCTACAGACGCTTAAGTCAATGAAAACATCAGTCTATATATCTTATGATATCAGCTTACATCATGGTAAAGACATAAATCTAACAGTTTCAACTGTGGTCTGAATGCTTAATACATGTAAATTTATTCTTTAAACTTTCAGTGACTGGCCACAAGAGATCTGGGAACAGTTAGGCAAGATTCTCTGACACTCTCAAGCTTAGTTACATTGTAGGACAAACACATGGCTCTTGGCCCATAAGCAGACTCTAAGGGCAGTATAAAATAGAAACAATACTTCATCAGTCAAATACAGAATATTTCTAGGAACCACTTAAGGTCAGGAGGGGGGAAAGAAAGAATTAGAATATTTTAAAAGTATATTTAGGATCTGAAAAGATAATTCAGCAACTAAGAGCACTTACTCCCAAATCACAGGAACCAGAGTTTGAATGTTGACACAGACACATGTAACCCTATCTCCAAGTAGGGTAGACATGGGAGGAATGCTGGGGTTTGTTGGCTTCCATTCTACTGTAGAAAGGCCAGCCCAAGATTCAAGGAGAGATCCTGCCTCAAAGGAAAAGGCAGAGTAATAGAGGAGGGTGTCTGGCACCCTCTTCTGGCCTCTGCAGTGTATGCAGGTATATGCACCTTACCTGTGCATCATACACATACTCATAGAAACACTTACACCGACACTGACAGACTGATAGACTCCTTACACATATACACACATACTTATACATTCTCTCTCTCTCTCTCTCTCTCTCTCTCTCTCACACACACACACACACACACACACACACACACACAGACACACATGCTCCCCCCCC